GGAGTATAAAGAAGGATTCATGGCAATTGTGGTACCAAAGTCTAAAGTTAGAGTGCAATGGAGTTGAAACGTGAGTGCATTCATGATACTGTAATGATAAGAAATAGATTAATTATAAAATAACAGTATGTCCTGGAGTTAATGACTTAAGATCACATTTGTCACATTTTTTTTCCCTTACTCTTAACTAAGGTAATTTAAATAACCTGAAATTTTCTCTACCGTTGCTTAATTGGTGGGGGATTTGGCCGTTCAGGCTAATTAGCATGGGTCCATAACGTCAGTGTTTAAATTAGGCCAAAGAGAAGACCAAACTATGAATTTCAATAGAAAAATATAATGACCTCATTACTGACATTATGCTACAGAGGTAACATCAAAATGATAGAAAAAGAGAAAGAAGGGGAAAAAGAAGAGAAAGGAAGGCAAGAAAGATGTAAGTGAGAAGTTAGCAATGTATTTACTGTCATTAGTTGCTGAAAATGTAACAAATTGAATTTCACCATTAAAATAAAATTCATTTTTATTAATAAAGTAGAAAATTAAATGATGTTAGGAATTATCTATGTCCTATAAATATCTCCAATTTGGTAGCTTTTAATAGTTTCAAAGCCCTTTCTCATATTTCTTTTGTAGAAACTGGGTCTTCCTATGTTGCCCAGGCTGCTTTGGAACTTCTGCCCTCAAATGATCCTTCTACTTTGAGCTTCCAAAGTGCCGAGATTATAAGCATGAGCCCCGTGTTCAGCCTTAAGTAATATTTTTGAAAAATAATTGCGAGTCAGTGGGACTTAAACCAATAGAAAAAGGAAAGCTAAATTTAGTTATAAATCAAGCCTGAGGTTTTTAGATTTCTGGACTGAAAATATGGTTCAGGTGGTGCTATTGTGGGATAAATAAAGGCAGAGAAAATCCATAGTATGCAGGGATAGATGGCATTTGGTACTCAGCTGCAGGGTTGGGGGAACTATAGGGAAGAGTGGGGACCATGGCAAAGTAAGGGTGCACACTCCACCTGAGTGTCCATGGTGGCTCAGCTCCAGTTGAGTGTTGCCACAGAAGAATAGGATGGTGCCAGATCTGACTCCTCAAGAAAATTAAGAATTCCAGGTTTCTGGCTCAGTGCCTGCAGCTCAGCGGGTAGGGCACAAGCCACCTACACCGGAGCTAGCGGGTTCAAATCCAGCCTGGGCCTGCCAAACAACAATGACAACTACAACCAAAAAATAGCTGGGCATTATGGCGGGTGCCTGTAGTCCCAGCTTCTTGGGAGGCTGAGGCAAGATAATTGCTTAAGCTCAAGAGTTTGAGGTTGCTGTGAGCTGTGATGCCATGGCACTCTACTGAGGGTGAGATAGTGAGACTCTGTCTCAAAAAAAAAGAAAGAAAGAAAGAGTCCAGGTTTCTAATATGAATTCTTGTAATGTATAAAAGCCGGCATGCCATTAAGGTTTTTGTTTGTTTGTTTTAAATAATATCACGTGGTACTAATCTGGCCTGGGTTTATCACCTTTTAAAATAAATTTTATTGATGTAAAGGATGTGTAGCACATGATTTACAAATGATAATAAAACATATGTTACTCTTTATTATGAACTTTATGAGCACAATTAATTCTCAGAGAATGCTTTAGTTGATTTTTGCCAAACTCCTGTATTCAAAACCACCTAGGATTGCAATTAATGAACAAGTATAGTTCCGGCATGAATATTTGTTGATATTTTCATATACATTAGGAATACAAGGAAAGTTAAAGAATAAAGAAAGATACATGTGAGATACATCATTTTTAATAAAGATACATCATTATCAGTCAATGACGTAAGCAGCTTCTTTGCTAAATCAAATAATAGAAATTGAGAAATACTTCCTCAACTTGGAGAACTAGTCAGCATTATTCTGCACTGTTAACATTTTCTTCACACTCAAGAAAATCATCAGACTCTGACTTGTAGTGTTTTCCAATGGCTTTATCCTCTGAGAGGGCCTAGAAGCAATGACATTCTGTGGCAAAGAGAACAGCCAATGCCTAAATTTCAGTTTCTCAATATCATCCCCACTGCAACAAACAAACAAAAAATAAGGCCTTGAAGAAATGGCTTATCCAAGGGAGCTAGAGCAGCAAAAATGCAAGGTGAGTGTGAAACATCTTATCGTGACAAAGTAATAAAAGCTGAAAAAGTTGATAGGGACACAGAAAAAAGATACAGGAGCCATTTCAAAGAATTCCACCAGCCAAATTAGGAATAATCTGTACATCAAAATGGTCACTTACAGAAAGGGATTATAGAGTATTGACTTGACATAGACTCTAAGAGTCTGTCTGCACTGTTACTAAAAATGAAGGAAAGAATAAAGTTACCTTTGCAGAAGAAAGGCAACTAATAAATGCCGGAGGAATAACAGAGACACCAAATCACCATTCTGCGAACACCACGGTAATAATGAACTCTGAAAAGAATCGTGAATGGATGCTGAGGAACAGTCACACCACCTAAAAGTATCATCGCTCCACAGATTGATTACAAAAGGCACCTTTACAGCGGAGAAAGGCCTGTAACTGAGAGATTAAAATTGGCATCATGCCTGACATGATGCACTGAAAAGAAGCATTTTGTCCAAAAATATTAAACTTTGTCTAATCCAGATCTGGAGAAAAGAAAAACTGATCTGGACTCTTCAAAAATGTCAATGTCATAAAAGGAAGGGGAGGGGAGGGGAGGGGAGGAGAGAGGAGGGGAGGGGAGGAAAGGTAAGGGAAGGGAAGGGAAGGGAAAGGGAAAGGGGAAAGGAGAGAAAAACAGAGTAAGCTGCTCTGGAATAGAGGAGACTAAATAGTCTTGACCAAATAGTCTTAAAGCCAATGTTTACTGGATCCTGGACCCTCCACTGGGGAAAAACAGCACCTATGAAAGATATTATGGAACAATTGGGTGAAATTTGAATACAGATGAGATATTGGATAACAGTAGTATGTTAATACTAAATTTCCTGATTGTGAACGCTATAGAATGGTTATGTGGGGAAATGCCCTTTTTCGTAAAAAACACACACTGAAGTATTCATGGGTGCAGTGCCAGGATGTCTACATGTAACTTTCAAGTGACTCAGCAAAGACAGAGAAAAAGCAAACACAGCAGGATACTGGCAGTAATGAATCTAAGTGAATGGTATTTGGATGTTCATTGTTCTGTTCTTGCTTGGTTTTATACATTTGAATTTTTCCAAAATAAAAAGTTGAGAAAAATGAATGAGGTATATTTTTATGCACTTAACAAGGAAAGAGCTCCAAAGCCCAAGCTGAAAGGAAAAAACCAGTTACAAAGGAACACAGAGTATGACTTCAAAATACATAGACAGATAGATGCTGTATCCATGCAGGAAAAAGAACATACTCTAGATATTTTCAGCAGAGAATGATTAAACATGGGTCATCTGTTGCCAGCAAAATCTCAGCAAGGCTGGAGGAGTGAACATTGGGGGTGGCCATTGCCCTCAGGGGTTGACTGCAAGATTCTATGTTAGAGAGCAGGAGAAGGTGC